GTCAGGGTCGGGTAATCTAACCGAAAAGGGAAAGGGGGCGCGACAAGGGTCGGGGTCTGGGTCAGGGTAAAGTAATGTAACTGAAAAGGGAAAAGGTCAGGGTCGGACTCAGGGTCCGGTCATATAGACGAAAGGGGAAATATTAAGGGAGAGGGCCGGGACTAGGAACGCAGTCGTCAGGGGGCGGAATGGGGGGTGGTAGTGTACAGGCGGACGACAGGGGAACGGGAAGGTAAACATAGGTCGCCGGGAACAGGAAGGGGGGTGGAGTGTACACGAGGGCGACAAGAAGGAGTAGTCCAATAGAAAAAGATAGGGGGTGGGGCGTACCAACGGTAACATTACCCCCGTTTCTAAGCACGATCGTCCCGATCGTTCAACTCCAAGTCCGGCTCCGTGAGCGGTGATGAGGGCGCTGGCGGGTACCAGAGGCCGATGTTCAAGCCAGGATCAATGGGGTTGAAGTAGGCCCCGGAGAGGAAGGTGATGGAGCGGGACGGCGACAGTGCGATGGTTGGGGAGGCGGCGGGGGGCGATGGGGAACGGGATGAAGGGTTAGCGGGGGCGGGGCGCCTGGAACGGAAAGGGGTGGGGATGGCGTCAGCGGGTCGGTCGTGGACGACAGCGGGCGGGGATACGGGGGAGGGGCTGCGCGAACGGAGGATGTCCTCGACGGGTGCGGCGGGTGTGGCAGGGGTGGGTGGAGGGGAGTCGCCGTAGTCAGAGACGTCGAGGATCTCGTCGTCGTAGAAGTTCCCCCAAATGCTGCGATGGAGGTCATTCCCCGACATGTTGTCGTAGAGGCGCACGGCGCGTCCGTTCTGGTACTGACGGACGGAAACGGGGATGTTGCGGACGTCGTACGCGTCGATGAGGTTGTCGGCCACTTCTCTCCAGACGTCGTGATCGGTGACGCGGGCGGCAGGGTCGCAGGCCTGAATCATCGCCCGAAGAAACCTTAGGTACTGCGTCTCCGTGAACCGTCCACTAGGGTGAACGTTGTCGCCCAAGACGCCGATGAGGTAGGCGTTGTCGACGCCAGGGATTTGTTCCCACCGCTCGTTCTCAGGCGTAGCTCCGGAGTTGGACCTCGAGGAGAGCAGTCCCGTTGAGGTGGCCCGAGATACGCCACTCCCAAGGGTGTCCGCCGACGCGACGGGGTTCTTCTGGCCCGATTTGCCAGCCGTCCGGGAGTCGCTCGTCGTAGAGGAGGGCCCCTCCGTATGCTGGGTGGCCGAGGAGGGGCGTCCGATAGTGGACAGTGGTGGGGCCCGGGGCAGGAACGGGGTATGGGGGGGTGCGAGGGGTGCGTTGGCGGAGTGGCGGAGTTGGAGGGGCGGGGGGCGCGGACAGGGCGTCGGGGTCGGTGGTGTTGGTGAGGTCGCCTCCGCTGATGGTGCCGAGGACCGTTCGGACGGCCGGAGTCAGCCACTCCAGGGGCGACGCGGGGTCGACGACCATGGCGAACGGGGGTTCGTTCTCATCGACGGGGCTCGGGGAGCGGGGGGTGGGGCTGGGAGAGCGGGGAGAGGGGCGCGTACGGGTCGGAGGGGGCGCGCCGGAGCGTAGGCGATCGGGCATCGGGCGGAGGTGCTGCAGTGTTGGAGAGGGGGAGTCGCGGGGTGGAGGGGAGCGGCGCGGAGGTTGTACAGGGGAGGACCACTCCATGTCGGCCTCGTCCATGGGGACGCTCCCCCAGTTAGTGTTGCTCCAGTCGACATTGGTGTCGCCCCATCCGGAGACGTCGGCCAGGTTTCCCCATTCTGGGGCGGGCAGAGGCGGGGTGGGGGGAATAGGGGAGGCAGCGTGGCTGTCGTTGGTGGCGAGGACGCGCTCCAGCCAGGTCCGCTCGCGTTCGCGGTCAACCTGCTCTATGTGGTTGACGAGGTCAGCAATGAAAAAGAGATGATGGGGGGCGCAAATGATATCTAAAGCGTGGTCGGACATGGCGATCGTTGTGGCCCGCAGCTGGGAGACGGTGTCGTAGGCCCGTCGTTGGCCGGTTGGGTCTGTGAGCTCGCCGACGTCCCAGTCGAGGGTCTGGAGGTGGGTGAGAGTGACGACCGACTTGCCATAGATGGCCCAGGCATGACCGGCGGGCGGGACGTCCCGGAATCGCCATTCCAAGACATTGCGCAATTCCGGGTTGGGTTGCAGAAGAAGCCACCCAACGTATTGGCGTGGGGAGGGTTCACCGTATCCGGCGACTTCGTTGCCGGGTAGGTGGAGGAAAGAGAGGTGGAAATCGTGGTTGAGGAACCACTGGGGGGTGGGGACATCTTCGGGGGCAGCGCGGTAGGTGGAGGCGAGTTGGGGCATGGTGAGGATTGGTGGGAGAGCGGAGTGGGTTGAGGTCGTTCCCTAGAGTCGCTGTTGCTTCTTGTACTTGGTGAGGAGCTTCGGCGCATTAGTCATCTCCTTCCCAGAAACCCACGAGTTTTCGCTGCTAGGCCAGCCCTTCCAAGAGACGAAGTATTGATAGCCTTTCCCACGTTTCCGATGGGCTAAGATGGCCTCGACTTCCCACTCTTCTTCACCTTCTACGGTCTCCGGAGGCGGTCTGGGGTAGTCCGGACCGTGTTCCTTGGTGACTCGATAAGGTTTGAGTAGATTCACATGGAAGACGTCATGGATCTTCCAGGCCTTAGGAAGTTTCAGCCGAACCGTGACTGGACCAATGATCTCATCGATCTCGAAGGGTCCTTCCCTTTTCGGGGCTAACTTCCGGTGGGGATAGGGGAGTCTGAGGTTGGTCAATTCGAGGAGGACCCTATCGCCTTTCTTGAACGTGACCGGCTTGGTTCCAGCCCTTCGGGCCATGATCTCCGCTGCTCGGTTGTGCGCGGCTTCCGCATTGACTCTGTCTTCGAGGAGTTGCTGGATTCGTTCTTCCGCGCTCAGGTGTGTGGACGGAGAGAGGGAGTTGGGGAATACGTCGGGGTTGTAGCCCATGATGAGTTCGAATGGAGACTTGCCCGTAACGGAGTGTTTGCGTTGGTTGTGGCAGAACTCGAAGGCGGGGAGTTTGTCCGACCAGCTGTCCGGGTCGTTGAGGCAGTAGATGCGCAAAGCCAAGTCGATCTCCTGGTTGACTCGTTCTGTCTGTCCATCCATCTGAGGGTGATACGCCGTGGATCGGGAAGTCTTGACTCCTACGAGTCGTTGCAGTTCTTGAAAAACCCCGGACGCGAACTGGGGTCCTCGGTCGGATATGATCCTCTGAGGGGCTCCAAACCGTTTGTAGACATCTCGGAACAGTAGTTCGGCTGCTTCCAAGGTGGTGACGTTGATAGTGCAAGGGGTGATGACTGCGCCCTTGGTGGTGTCGTGGTCTACTACCACTTGAATGGCGTTGAATCCGTTGGACATTGGAAGGCCCGTGATGTGATCCATGGTGATGACCGAAAACGGTCGCGTGTTTCCTGCGTGGGGAATAGGCATGGCGGGAGCTTTCACGGGGTGGGTGTTAACCTTGGATCCTTGGCAGATGGCGCATCCTTGAACGAATTTGCGGATGAAGTTTTCCATTCCGCCCCAACTGTACTGACGTGAGACGAGTTCGATGTTCTGGTCCTGTCCGGGGTGGCCCATTACTGCCGGGTCGTGATGTATCCGGACAATGTCGCGTCGCAGGTCTTCATTCGGAGGGATGTAGATCTTGCCCTGATACTTGGCAACACCATCGTCCAGCTTCCAGTCTTTGGGTTTGCCGTACGGAGGTGGCTTGACGAGGGTTAGACGTCCCCGACCGCTGGTCTGTACCACCTTGGTGTCCTTCTGGGTGGCGTCCTTGATTCGCAGCAGTAGATCATCAGTGACAGCTCGAATAAATACCCCGTCATTTAAGACGACAACGTCCTCGTTGTCACGCTTCCCATCCACATGGTCGGGGCGGCGGGACAGGGCATCGGCTTGGGTCAAGGTCTTCCCGGCGTGGTGGTGGATTTCGAAGTGAAACTGGCCGAGGAACGCACTCCATCGGGCCTGGCGTCGGGTCAGCTTCTGTGCGGACCGCCAGTAGGTGAGGTTCTTGTGGTCAGAGATTACTTGGATGACGTGGGGGGACCCTTTGAGGTAGTGCTGCCAGGTCTCGAAGGCGCGGACCACTGCGAGGAGCTCTTTGTCATAGATCTGATAGTTGCGTTCTGCAGGCGAGAGGGCATGAGAGAGGTATGCTACCGGCATCCAGTCCTGGTTGGCGTTCCGCTGGCGGAGGACGGCTCCGGTGGCAAACATGGAGGCGTCGCATTCAATTTGGAAGGCCGCAGATGGGTTGGCCATGCAAAGAATTGGCTTCTGCTGGAATAGGTTGCGGAGCGTGTCGAATGCGACCTGACATTCGGGCGTCCATTGAAAGGGTAGATCCTTCCGGGTGAGTTGTGTCAGTGGCCGAGCGATCTTGCTATAGTCACGGATGAAGCGTCGGTAGAAGTTGCAGAATCCGAGGAAGCTCTGGACTTGCTTGACGGTGGTGGGTACAGGCCAGGCGCGGATGCCGTCGAGCTTGACCGGGTCCATGCCGAGCGATCCTTCGCGAATGATGGTGCCTAGGAACTCGACCTCAGCAGCGTCGAACACGCACTTCTCGCGTTTGAGGAACAGGTCCATTTCGATGAGACGCTGCACGACCCGCTGTGTTCGACGGTGGTGGACGTCCTGTGTCTTGGAGTGTATCAGAATGTCGTCTATGTAGATGACGAGCCATCCCTCTGCAATCATGTCCTTGAAACCGTCGTTCATCATCGCCTGGAACGTCGCAGGGGCGTTGCATAACCTGAAGAACATTACGGTCGGCTCGTAGAGGCCGAGGGGGGTCTTGAAGGCTGCCTTCCACTGATCACCGTCTTTGATGCGGACGTTGTTGTAACCGGCTCGGACGTCCAACTTCGTGAAGTACTTGGCCCCTTGCAACTGGTCGATGAGGTCGTTGATCAGGGGGAGGGGGTAGACGTTCTTGATTGTGCCGGAATTGAGGTAGCGGTAGTCCTGGACGGGTCGCATGGAACCATCCTTCTTGTCCACGAAGAAGAAAGAGGATGCCATCAGTGAGGTGGATGGGTGGATGTACCCCTTGGCTAAGTTCTCGTCGATGAACTTCCGAAGTTCCTGCATCTTGAGCGGAGACAGGGGGTACAGCTTGCAGTCCCGAGGTTTGAAGTCAGGTCGCAGGTCGATGGGGTGATCCCAGGCCCGGGGCTTGGGCATTCGTTCGGCCGCCTTCTTCTCAAACACCTGGTGATAGGTTTTGAGGTAGTCTGGGATGGCGACGGTAGCCTTGGCGTCGGCTGCTTTCGACCCGGCTTCGACAGCCAATTGGGTCGACACGGTGGTGCGAGCGATGGGGGTGTCTCCTATGATGAGTCGTCGGATGGTGGCAGATGGGTTCCATTCGGGATGGATGTCTCCGTGAAGGAAAGCGGTAAGGTGTCAGCGGGGATTCCCTGAGGGGCGTTGATGGTATTCCCAGAGTCGCTGTTCCCCCCGTAGGTATTTGGCGTCGAACCGGACCTTGCCTTGTACCCAGTCGATGTGGGGGTTGTACTGGATGAGCCATGGCATTCCGAGAATGATGTCGTCCCGTCCGCAGTCCGCGACGTAGAGTTCGGTGGGGAATTCGTGGCTGTTAATTCGGAAGTGGCCTACAAATTTGTGGGTGACGGGTCCGGCCGTGTTGGCGGTGCCATCGACATTGGTGAAACGAAGGGGAGAGGGTAAGGTGATGAGAGGGAGTTTGTGCTTCTTCGCGAAATTTTGGTTGAGGAGAGAAGCGCTTGCTCCGCAATCGATGAACGCATGAGCTCCGACACTTGTAGACTCGTACTCGATGCTGCCCGGGATAAGAATAGATTGACGTCGTCGTTCTGTAGTGGCAACAAACGAGATACTAATACAGTCAGAGGGCAGTGCTTCTGTCGGCGAAGACTGCCCGTTCAAAAACCCTCATCCGAATCGTCTACGTCGACCTGACTGATCGTTTTGTCAGGTGTCGCGTCGCCATTGTCCTCGTCATCGGCGACCTGGCCATCCTCTAGTTCATCGACCTTGCGCACCTTCCGCTTCTTCTGTCCAGGCTGTCGTCCCTTGGCGCGGTTATCCGCCTTCTTCTCAAGGCAATCGCGTGCGATGTGACCAGTCTTGTGGCAGTAGAAGCATTGCTTCTTCTCTCTGTCTTCCTTCATGGCTGGTGCGTCGACCCGTCGTATGGAGTTGGGACGAGCAGACTGCCCCTTCGAGCCTTGACCTTGTCGGTCGTTGTGAGAGTGTTCCTCGAGTTGGCGCAGATGGCGTTCTTTGTAGTTGGAGTGTTCGATCTCCAATACCCGTGCTGCCCACTTCTTAACGGTGGTGGGGATGGGGTACGTGAGGCGAACCCGTCGTCGCATGCTTTCTGGGAGACGCTCTTTGTAGAAGGACAGTTGAGCGCTGTCTTCGAGTATACCGGCGAGAGCACAGAGGCGGAAGAATTCCGCATTGAAGGTGTCTGGTGCGGCAGGTCAGTAGTCGAGGTGGTACAGCTTGGAGGCGGCCGTAGCGGCTTCCTCGATAGGCTGGAAGGTCTGTTGTAAGACAGTCTCAAACGCGTTCCAGGTGTTCCAGCCGTTTCGTCGGGCTTGGGCAATGTATCCGTCTTTCCAGGCGATCACTTTCGGTCCGTCCATGAACGTTAGGGCGGTGACGATGCAGCTCTGGTCGGTGGCGTAGTCGGCTGGACGTGCTTCGAAGAACAGGAAGAGTTCATTGAGGAAGGTGTGTAGATTGTCGCGGTCTCCGTCAAAAACATTGGGTGCGCGGACTTTGGTTCGTCCAGCGACGACGCCTGGTGCGCCGAGAGGAGCCACAGGCGGTGGTCCACCGGGTCCTTGAGGAGGTCCGCCGCCCTGCGGAGGTCCGCCAGGTCCTTGAGGCAAACCAGGGGGTGTAGGTGGCCGACCAGGCGGTGCAGCAGTAGTAGGTGGTATCACAGGTTGTGCTGTCGGGACTCCACTGCTGGCGTAGTGAGTGGTTTGACCGGGTTGAGCCCCTGTCGCCTGGCGTAGCGAGGAGATGCTGTCTTGGGGAGTGAACAAGTTTCCGAGTTGGAAACTGGGGAGGCTAGAACGGGGTGGTACTGCGGACATAGTGGCGTCTATGAGTTCTGTTGTCGTGTCCGCGTCGCTGTCTGGTTCGTCCGGGTGTGCTTGGAGAAGACCGTGGAGAGGGGTGACGGTTTCTTCGTCGTCTCAAAGAGCGGGGTTGTCTTCCGACAAGGGTGTAGCCTCGGTGGGCTCGTTCGCTATGTCTGGTAGGGAACTAGTGCGATGGGTAGCAGGGCTACGCGGAGGGGAGGGGGCTGTTGTTCGATTGAGGGCCCAAGTCGTTTGGATGAAGGCTTCCTGCCTTTTCTGTGGCGCGTTTCCGGTGATGACGTTGGGGCTGCTCTGTCCGTTGTATCGGTTGGGGCACAGGTGGTTATTGCAAGTGCGCCTGTTCTGTCCTTCTCTATTGAAGCTGATGTCGCGTCGATTCTCGGGGTTGTATCGGTGAATACGTTGGGCGCAATCAGTCCGCTGCGTATTCATGCGGAGGGATACCTAGTCCAGGTGGAAGTTGCGTAGAGTCGCCGAATAGTCGGAATCGGCACTAGCGTCAGGGGACTCGTATCCGTTTCGAATGATGCGACGGTGAGATTTGTATAGTTCCCTAGCCCCAATGAGTAGATGTAGGCGTCGGCAGTGTTCGGCGAAGTCCGGGTCCAAAAGACTCTGAACGTTACGAAGATTCTCGGCCTGTTCGCGAATTCGAGCAGCAAAGTAACTGGATCCGTGGCGTTCTTCTGGGTCGTGGCTAATGGGGATGGGGGGAAGGGGTGAGCTGACGAGCCGTTGGAGATTGTGAAGGGTGTTGACGACCTGCTGAACCTGTTCGATGAGAACCTGGATGTGTGCTTGCTCGGAGATCGGGGTGAGGGTTGGGTGGTGGTTGGTGATGTCGTACAACGCGCTCGCGTTGTCCCGAATTCTCGTAAGGAAGGAGAAGATGTCTAGTGGTTCGGGGCTTGAGGGGTTGCTTGCCGATGATTCTTGCTCGGTGTTGATGAGTGATGGTAGTTCGTCGTCCGCGTCGTACCCGTCGTCACAGAGTACCCAATGCTCGAGTTCGTCAAGGATAGTAAACTCGAGGCTCGCCTGGTCTGGTGTCCAAGAGCCGATGCTCAGGCGATATTCGTTCCAAACTGGGCTATGAAGGACGGCTCGTGCGTGAGTCCTTCCGATCCGGTCAAGCGTCCGTTGACGGATGAGTTCAATAGATGCCTGTCTCTGAGGCGTTGGTGCTATTGGTCGATCAAGGAGTAATCCTTCCTGGTAGGTCGCACGTCTGTATGCTTCCTTGAGCTGCCGAATGGAACGTTCAGCGTCCGCTGGTGTGGCTTGGCGTCGTACTAGGTTGTACGCTCGATGTTCTTCGGGAGTGCGGTTGTGGTTGTAGACGACTACCTCGTTGTCCGAGTAATCGACCGTAGTATGGTCACGGCCGTGCGTTTGTCGAAGTCGGTCTGCGAGTTGACGAATAGAGTGCGCCACAGTGAGTCCTATCCAAGGCGTGGTGGGAGAACTTCTGTTCTAATGTTACGCTGAAGTACTTACACAAGTCTATCCAGACTTATCACGCGGACTTATCCAAGTACGCGGTGTAGCACACGGGGGAGAGAGTATCGCGCAAGTCCCTAGATTGAGGGATATAGGGATACAGGAGGTAACGAAGAGGAGAACAGAAGTGGGGAGCCTCTACCGGCTACAGGCCTCCTTATATACTATGGGGTACCGACCGTATTAGGAAGGGAAAGGTAACCGACCAAAGTGGGGAGGTATGAGGAGACTGTAAAGGAACGCGTCTGGTCGAGGCTGGGCCCAGTATAGTACAAGACCTAGGTCAGGGTCCTGT